ATATATATATATATATATAAAAGTGGTTCACATCATTTAAGGATAAGAACAACAAAATGGAAAAATTTCAACTAATCAAGCCATTTATCCCTTTTAATTTGATTTATAGGTGTTTTTTTTAATTCATCTGACCGACATAATTATTTTTTATTATAATAATAGTTGTGTAACTTTATTTACTTTTGGGCATTTAAGTAATGAGCTGTTCTTTTAACACACTTCCTGTATAACTTTTAATATTTTGTGAATTAACCGAGTTCAACCAGTACCATTGGATGATAATAAAATATTATACTTGATACGGTCTCATTATTAATTTATATAATTATTTAATACTTTTATTTAATATATGATTTAATATTTATTAAGAAGAATTAATATGATTTCTCTTATAATATTAATAAGTGTGATAAATATTTAGTTTATTTTTAATTTTATTTGTATTTATTTATGTATTATGTATTTTTCTTGTGTAAATATATATATTGTTTGTTTATTTCATGTTAAATATAATGTAATTCTTTTTTTGGATTTGAAGAGGATTGTTGTCCGGATCTTTTGGTTCAACCTCAACACTCGGTTCATAAATATAGTGTTGTCAAAAATGGGTTATAACCTACGAGCCAACCCGGTTTACTACGAGTTTGAGCTTAGTTGGGTTTGAAAAAAATGTAATTTTTTTTATGCGAGTTAGTTTTCAACCTGGCTCACTTAGAACCCGGCTTACCTGGGTTGACCCGGTAGTGAGTCGGGTTGACTCACCCACCCACTTCATTTTATTTAATTATTTATTATTTTGTGTTTCAATATTATTAGTTAGCATTTTTTTATTATATTGTAGATAAGATAAAAAAAGATGTTTCAAGAGAGAAAAATATTATAGATTCATCTATTCAAGACTAACATTATAGATGGACAAGTGATACAAAAATTATCAATATTAAAAATTTATTTGTTCGTCTTTTGTGCTTGTATACACTTGGATTATATGATATTTTTTTTATTATTTTGAATTGTTTTTGGAGTTTAATATCATTTTATAGTGAAATTTATTTAGATTTGAATTAAAAAAATTATAATTTTTTTTATTTTAAAAAAGCTTATAATTAAGTGAGTTAGTGAACCAACCCGTTTAACCCACCAACCCGTGGTGGGTCGAGCTGGGTTCGAATTTTTTCAGTTCGCTAATAAATGAGTCGGGTTGGGTTGACTCACCAACTGATCAACCCGTGGTGGACCGGGTCGGGTCGAGTCAGGTTATCCATTTTGACAACTCTACACAAACAAGTAAGATACTCACTATATTGTCTTGCTTAATGAAATAAGATAGTTAAAAGCAAAACAAAAGTTGATTCTCACAATGTGTATGCTCATTTAGCAAGAGGTTAATTTCTGGAAGTGGTTATTAAATCATGAATGAAAAAATAAAAATATTTTATAGTGTGAAAAAACATAGAAATTTAAGAATTCAATGAGCAGCGAATTTAGGATATCATGACTTCATTTAATCTATCCATTATGTAAAACTTGTATGTTCTAGATGTATAGGAATAGTTAAACTCCATTTCATTAGGATTAAATGTAATGAATTTAAACATGATGTAAATTTTTTTGTGCAATATAATATATGTTTGTTTATATGTTCCATTAAAATATTAATGTGTGTTGGAATTTGAATGTATCTAATTATTGGAAAATAAATAAGAACATAGACATAAATATAACACCCAAGGGGAATTTTTATAAAAATGGATTCAATATCTCTTATCCATTTTAAACTTTTGATCTTAATGCAAATTATACGTTAATTTGACTAAGAAATTAGTAATTTAACCTATAGATCTAGAACTTATTCCTAAAAAATAGGACTAATATGTTTTTTAGATAAATATTTAAATGAGATAAAGATATATTATATAGAACTTTTATATTATTTAATTCATGACATCCAATCTAGATAAAGTTTTTAGCGAATTATTTTACAAAACTTATAAATTTAATGTGATAGATACATTTATCTCGACATGAATCTAATGAAATTTTAATCTCTTTTTTTTCACTCTTACTTATTATTCTTTCTTCTATTTATCTTCAATAATATATTTATATTTATTCTTTAAAAGAGTTTTGTATCTTAAAAGATTTACATATACACTATAAATATATCTTTAAAAACAGTGATTATTCATCCTTCGCAAAATTAATTTAAGTTTAATTCTTATCAAATTCTCCTAAATATATTTCACTCAAAGATAAAGCATATTAAAAAAATATCAATATAGTTTCAGAATATAAAATAATTAATTAAATAAATTCATTAATTGATTTAATTTAAAATATTAGAAATGTAGATACCGACCATGGCCGGTGTGCCGTATTCTTCACGTGCTTGCTATAGTGCTGGTTTTGTGTGACAGATAATGGTGATATATATATATATATGGGAGAGTTTAGTTCAGTTATCAGAATGATTCGAGTAGTGCTTTCAAGCTTCTTTCAAACATCTCCATTCTCGCTTTCTAAAGGAAAATTGGTGCTGCTCCCACTCAATTTTATCTAACCAATCCAGGTATTTAAGCTACTTTTACTATCTCTATATTTCCGAGTTTAATTTAACTTTCAACTTTCAGATGATTAATAAGTGTTCACATTAATTATAATGAATATTTTACTAATATCGTTTTTTTGTCATCGTTTTATCTGTTATACTAACTTTTATCTCTTTCTCTTCATATTAACAAAAATAAATTAAAATATATTTTATGACCGCATCACATTAGTGTTGTTATCAATGTTGTTTCTTGTTGATACAGACGAAGAAGAAGAGAAGAATGATACTATAGAGAAAGAAAAAGAAAGAAAACATGGAGAAAAACTGGTTCTAGAATCATTTGTTTTGTTTTGAAAAGTTTTTTTCGAAAAATTCATCTTTAAAATTCGTTCCTTAAGATATTATATGTGTTTAAGAAAATTTGTTGTAAAATGCACTTTATTTGTTTAAATAAATTTGTTCTAAAAATCTCATTAAATATTATTTAAAAAATTCTAGAAAGTTTGTTTTGAAAAATTTTCAAGAAACGTAATCAAGAAATCACTTTTAGAAATGGTAACGTGGTCATTTTAAAAATTTGGGAGGTGTCCAAAGAAACCGTGGGAGTGCAGGAAGTAAAACGCCGAAGAGAAAGGTCTTTCCACTATGATCTTGTTTATTTGGTAGCAGAGAGCAGACAAGTATTATCAAATTCTAACTGGTTGTATTTATATATAGGGTTCATCTTACATTTATGTTTAATAAAAATACAAGTTGAATTTTATATGAAAAAATCGTAATTGTCTCATTGTTGTGTCCATTTTGTCATCTGAGTTTAACTTGTATGAGAAGAAGATAAAGGAACTGTAACGATGAAAGCTAATGGTATATTCAGATATAGGATTCGCAACTCAATAGATAAAGAAAAGCATTAAGTAGACAACATGTGCATCCTTCCAAATATATCCGATTATTGAGGAAAACATATTCATTTTTGAATCATATTGTCGTCTGCACAGCTTCAAGTATATATCGTTCATCGGCTTAATTAATATCATTTCCTTTCGCTCTCTTGGCCGGCAATATTAAAGTCATTGTTTTGTCTTTGCTACACCTGACATAGTTAACAATGTTTGTTCTTGTACTTGTCGAAGATAACCCTTTTATATATGTTGATTATGGTTCCCATACCTTTTGGCTCAGCCTCACAACAACTCAAATTTGCAGAAAATGTCAGGAGAGGAAGTCTTATCATCCAACGAAGAACAATATGATATATCTCATCCTCCATTTGGTAACAAAAGTGGCTATAATTCAAGGACAGGCATCTACCACTCTCTAGTTAAGCTTCAAACTAAGCATGAAATCCCAACAAAGCCAGACCTCAACACTGCCCATTTTGTGCTGTCACAGTTCCCACAAGCACACCTTGCTGTGGCAAAAACTGCATTCATTGATGCAAGAACTAATCTGAGAGTTAGCTATAGTGAGCTGAGAAGGTCTACCTACTCCCTTGCATCAGCTTTGTTCCATGGACTTGAGGTTAGGAAAGGTGATGTGGTTTTTTTATTGTCACCAAACTCAACCTTGTATTCAGCCATATGTCTAGCTGTGTTATCCGTTGGAGCAGTTCTGACCACTGCCAACCCCATCAACACTGCATCAGAAATTGCGAAACAAGTGCGTGATTCAGGTGCTAAACTAGCCATCTCAGCACCAGAGGAGCTGCACAAATTGGTCCCAACTGGGGTTCCTACAATTCTCACTTGTCGTTCTTCTGCTGGCAGAATGTTATCCGTTGAAGAGTTAATAGAAGGTTGTCATGATTCAAGCGAGTTGCCTCAAGTTCCTGTGGCACAGTCAGACACTGCTGCTATATTTTACTCTTCAGGGACCACGGGAATAAGCAAAGGTGTGGTTTTAACTCATGCAAATCTCATTTCCATAATGAGATTGATTTTCTGGTCTGCTGATGTCAGTGGATCCCGAGATGATATTTTCTTGGCCTTCATTCCAATGTTTCACATCTATGGATTTGTATTCTTTGGATTAGGATTGTTGTGTGCTGGTATAACAACAGTTTTGATGCAGAAGTTTGACTTCCAAGATATGCTTGATGCAATCCAGAAGCACAAGGTTAACAACGTGCCAGCAGTGCCACCAGTGATTCTTGCGCTAGTGAAGTATTCAAGGAAAGCTAGGTGTGACTTGTCCAGCGTAAGAAGAATGGGGACAGGTGCTGCACCTTTGAGCAAGGAAGTGGCACAGGAGTTCAGGAAAATGTTTCCATGGGTTGAACTAAGGCAAGGTTATGGACTAACAGAAAGTAGTGGTGGAGCAACATTTTTTGTCTCAGATAAAGATGCTAAAGCTCATCCAGATTCATGTGGGAAGCTGATTCCAACATTTTCTGCAAAAGTTATAGACACTGAAACGGGGAAGCCTTTGCCCCCTAACAAAGAAGGAGAGTTGTGGTTAAAAAGTCCTACTATTATGAAAGGATATCTGGGAAATTTGGAGGCAACAAGTTCAACAATCGATTCAGAAGGTTGGTTGAGAACTGGTGATCTTAGTTACATTGATGATAATGGATTTGTTCACATAGTTGAACGGATAAAAGAGCTAATCAAGCACAACGGGTATCAGGTACTGAAAGCCATAACAGTTTCAGTTTTCAATTAGAATATCACTGTATCAGTAAATACAACATTCTGCTTGTCTCAGGTGGCTCCTGCAGAACTGGAGTCTGTGCTGCTAAGTCACCCTCTTATAGCTGATGCAGCAGTTATACCGTGTGTTATAATCTCTCACGTTTTTCCCTCTTACTATTCATAATCTGTGTGAATTTCTGATGTGGAAACAAAGATATGATGCAGGTTGGAAGATGAAGAAACTGGACAGATACCAATGGCATATGTGGTGAGAGCAGCTGGTTCTGAACTCTCAGAAGACCAAATCATTCAATTTGTTGCAGGCCAGGTAACTGGTATTAGCTGTGGTGATTTTAATTATCTTTTAATGTACATAAAATAAAATGGAGAATTTTCAGGTGGCTCCATATAAGAAAGTGAGAAAGGTGAGTTTCATTGACACTATTCCAAAGTCAGCTGCTGGCAAGATATTGCGGAAGGATCTTGTTTCACAAAGCAAATTTCAACCTGTCTCCAAGCTATGAAGAACAAGTAGAAGTGATAGTGTCCCAGAATGTTTCACTGTTTTTTAGGATATCAAATTGTTTGTCCTATATTTACTCGTGCAGGCTGAGTGGATATTTAATGTTTGTAAAACTAGTATAAACGGACTTGGCATAGAGGAAGAGAAGAACACAGTGAATCAGAATTCATCTTCGAGACTCCAAATAGATATTTCTTAATAAAGAATATTGTCCGTGGTTTTTATCTCAGTGAGTTTATGAGTTCTGTTGTCTATTTTCATTAAGAATTAAACTTGAAACATAACTCAAAAAGTGAATTTTGTAATTATTGTAAATTGTTTTTATATTTAATTTATTTGGATCTCCAACACGTTAATTTTACGTTGGATCATATATGTTTTGAATATAAGATTAAATATTTATCTAAATAAAACGATAAATTTAATCGATAATACATTTTATTATGATAAGCTATAATACTGTAAAAAAAACAAACTTCAAATAACTCAATCGTAATAAAATTTACATTTATTTATATATTATAAATTGTCCACGCATTAAATCGAGATAAGATTAACATTTTAAAGTTGTCATCGGATGTATTGCTAAATTGAAATCATGAATCATATTTATTAAGTACAAACTTTTAAAAAATAATAAACATAATTTAAAAATTAAAGAAATAATATAATTTTATTATAGTATAAAAATTTATTACAATTTACATATTTTTTATATTGAAAAATTAAAAATAATTTTATTTATGTTATTCATTTTTTTTAAATTTAAATTTATTTTCTTATGTTTTATATTTAATTTTTCCAAATCCTAAAACCTAAACAAAAATAACACGTGGATTTTATATAATTAGGGGATCATCTTTTTGGTTTACTTGAAATAAGGGCAGAAAGCTAGACTAACGTAAATTTTCTATTAGGCCGTGAAGTCGTCCCTTTTGTCAGCTACAGGTTTGGGATGTGTGTCTGTCTGCAGGGAAGATAAGAGAAATAAGTAAGGGAATGGAGATTCAATTTGGATTTTTTCATCAATTTTTACTTTTAAAATGTAGAATTTACGTTTGATTTTTTTTTCATACAATCAGTCTTACATATTTGATTTTTTTTCATATAATCAGTCCTACATTATTTATGCTTGAGCAAAGTTTTCCTCATCTTATAACTATTGGCTCAATTAGTTTCCTTTTTTTAAAAAAAACTAATACAAAAATTAATCTTTAATTTTAATGATTAATATCCTCTGACTTAGCATATAACTTGACTCGCATTATAACCTACTGCTCAGAAGTCCCAATTTTGACAACCAATAAATATGGTAAACTTAACAAGTCAGTTTTTCTTTTCCTATTATTGATGATAGAGTTATAGGAAACTTTTAACGTAACGTTTTTATGCAAAGCGATTATCCTAGTTATAGGAATATGCAAGCGAACATTGTCTATCGAATCCCATTATTAATTTGCCGCACAATGTTATTCGTCGTCTCTTGTATAACCAAGGCAACCTTCAATCACAGAAAATACCAATTTCAATGCCAATACACTAACTCCCCTAAAATCATCTTCCTTCTTAAGGACACTTAAACTTCTGTTCTCTACATTGGATATCAATTCACAAAAATGAAACGAGCATTCTTCCGCTCACACGAAATCTACCAATATTAATTCTTGACGTGATCAATCAACGACACTCCAAAACTCGCATTGAGGGATTACAATTCTACCCGAACCACATTATGAACATCTTTTACATAGAGATAACAAATCCGCTCACCACCCAGTGATCATTGTCGTTTGAATCAAACCAAAATACGACACCGAACACAAGGGACACGCAAATGAACAAAGTAAAACTAAACAAAGTGCATACTCTAGCAATCGAACATCCTAGCTAGTTATATTTAAAATGGAATAAATCATGTCAATCATTCCAATATATAATCAAATGAATACAATCAAATAAAAGATAAATCCTATAAATTTAATGGACACTTGAGCCTGAAATGTATCAGTCAAAAGTAAACCTGTCTAGGTACGCATTACAAATTCAAAAAGATTATGTACCCATCTCGAAAGTTTCAGTCTTCAGTGCTTCAAAATTGGAGTCCATCAATCATTTCAACTCAAGATGATACCTTAAAAGTTCTGTAACAAAGAAATTTTATTTTCTAAATGAAAAAAAAAAAAAGAATATAACCTGTTAAGGTTCCTCAGACTCAATATATCACTTTCAGTTGACATTGCTGCCATGACCTCATACTTCTCATTTCTCACTCCCACCAAACCATCGCCAAACACCACCGGAACTCTGTCTCTGTGCGGTTGCAGCAAGCTCCATTTCCTGGTCCAGAGCAGAATTCTTTTCACGAAGAGCCTGTACTTCATCCTCCACTGACTGCATTGATTCCAGCAACTTCTGGAGTTCTGCAATTTTGGCCTGGAAACGAACATTTTTATTATACTCAATCCTACACGAACGTAAAGCCATATTATACTCCAAAAATAGGAAAGTAAATCTGTACCTCCAAGTTAAAGCATCTTGATCTCTCAGCCACAAGTTGTCCCTGGACTGACTGGAGTTCCTGAAATACATATTTAATTATGAAAAATAACACCTATCAATTAAATTATAGCGCACCTTCATATCAAAACCGCAATAATACCTTGGACAACTCAGCATGAGTATTATTTAACTCTTCTAACTCGCCTCCAATCTTAGAATTTTCAGCCCTGACTTCTGCAATTGACAATTCCAATATCCGTTTCTCTTCTTTAATGGCTTCAATTTTGTCCGTCACATCATCTTTAGAATGACCATTTACATGTGAGTTGGAATTCATATCATCTAGTTGCATGAAATCCAACTTCTCTGATTTAGACAACGCATAAGCAGAAGTAACAGAAGCTGCAGCGGCAGCGGCAGCAGGTGATTGGAAAATCTTAGGACGTACAATGTCTTTTTCCTTGGGTCTCATAACAAAAAGCTAAATTTGCAAGTGACCAAGCCGTCAGCCACAGAATCCATTATATGCAATACCAAAACATTAATTAATAAAACTCCCCTAAAAATATGTAAAATTAGCAAACTCATAATCTGTGGCATAAAACACAATTTGCAGTCATAATAGAAACCAGTTTATTTGAATTGAATTAAATCAATTTGCATGGTACAACAATCAGTCTTGTCCCACTAGTAACGTAGATAATCAATGCCATTCGCTTTTGTTAATACCAAATACCAAATTTTTAATAACCATTTAGTCCAAGGTCTTTTCAATTGGACCACATTCCATTTTAACCACTTTTCTATCATCACGAAACAACCTGAGGAAACTTTATGCAATATTCTCCAAGTTTCTCTTAGTCCTTGTAGTAACCTTATCTTTTCAAGCTTGTTCGATCACTGACCTCAACATTCTGATCCGCAAAAACAATAAAAACATTAGATATATGTTCTTGTGAAGATGTCTCTCACTGCCCAACATCAGCTAGCAAAAGCATGGGGCATCCTTAGTCTATTAATTCCACCAAACCTACTTGACATTCTTGGAATTATTCCAGTAGCCTTTTTGTTAAAAAAAAGAACTTAGCAATTCGAGGATAATTTAGTGAAATGTTCTTAATGAATCCCAATATCACATTAAAAAATGTAAACTCATATTTCACCCTCGTGTAGCTTTATTTGAAAGCACTTCGCCTACATGGTTATGAAAATTCATACTTCGCTAACACCCTGATTTGCAATGTTATCACATAATTAACCTGTGACATTTTTCACCCATTTATTCTTTAATGGTTTAACAGTAAGATGAAAGCAAACACACGTGAACTCGCTTTTCAACTTTCAAGTCATTCCCTTCCAATTTTTCACCAAATTCATCAGAATTCCCTTAGCTTCCTTTTTATTAAAGATACCACTCTCTGCAAAATATACACATAAGATGGAGTAGGAAGTCCAAAAAACTTTCAAGTTTTCAAGTGAAGCTAAAAAAGAGAGGCATATGACCAAACAGGCAGGCAGTCTCTTAAGAAAGAGAATCGAGGTCAACCACAGGCTGAACCAAAAACTTTGTTACTATACATAGAAGGAAGAAAGGTGACTAGTGTAATAAGAGGTAACAGAATATTGTTAAGATAGTCAAAAATCAGTTAGGGAGAGGAAGATTAGAAAAGGAGCTTTACGTTATTTTTGACAGGTAATTACCTTTGTGTAAAGGAAAGGACTACTTTGTAGTTCCGTTAGTTCTTACTTCAAAAATACAGAATTTATTCTTTCTGTTCTACAACTACTCTCCTTTTCCTCCCAAGGGAACAATTATTTGTTCTCTTTGTGTGTAGAAGAATCCTAACACAGTCTGGACTCTCGAACAATTCAACAAGGATGGGTTCAAGTTGTTTCCATTTCCAAAAGAAACCAAGAAGGCATATATGGTCCAAATGAACAGACATGCACGTTCAGATGAGCAAGCAACGGAGAATCACACAACCAAGTAGGGATAGTCATAGATTGGATTTTAGGAAATCCAATCCAAATATTTAGATTTTGAATCCTAATCCATTTTTTTATAAAAACAATCTAAATTGAATTTCTAGATCCATATATTTTTTTAATAAAAATTACTTTTTTAAATTTAATTTTAAATTTAAATATGTATTTTTTTTAAATAAAGTAACTATTTAATCTAATATATAAATATATAAAAAATTTAAATAATATATAAAATATTAAAAAAATATAATATCAAAAACTAAAGATAATATATTATGCAAATTCTTAACATTAAAAAAAATACAACCATCTAAATGTCAATATAATATCCAACAAAATAAAATAATTTAAATATTCAAATAATAGCTACTCTCAATTACTGAATTATTAAATTAAAACTAATTATCATGTTCAATATATATATATATATATATATATATATATATATATATATATATATATATATATATATATATATATATATATATATATCAGTGCATAGTTATAGCCACAAACAAGATACATCATCACACATACATTACATTGCAAAAGGGCAAAAACTTCTGCCATGATGTCTAACCAATAGAATTTACAGGGATCCAGTTGCACTTTTTTTAATATCAAGTGTCCATTCATTCCAAAATCAAGACTAGAAAGCAAAGTTGAGCCTACTGCCAATTAAGATTGGAAATTTGGATTTTCCAGTTTTTTAAATCCATATAAACAAAATGGAAATCTGATCTGGAAAA